GAAGTTGGTCAAGCTTGCTGGCTGCACGAAAGTATCAGCCTATATTCTGTTGCAACACGATGCAGTGACTCTGCTATGTCTCGACCAGACTGCAGTGGAAGCTGATCATCATGCTTGATTTTATAGGCACCCGAGTCACCGGAGTGATGAGTGGGGTTTTGTGGGGGACGATTGGTTCATCTGACAATCAGATCTTAAGGAAAATTTAAAGTGATGTTGGTGCTACATTGCTGTATGTTTCGAGCTGTCACAACATGTCCTTGTGTGCTGACATGGCAAGGAAGGACCGCTACAACAAGAAGATCCTGAAGTATTATGTCACGTACAACGAAGATGACTCGGACATGGACGAGCAGATCGACACCGAAAAACATGAAGAGCAAGAGACGGTGCCCGGGCAGCATTCGATAAACAAACATATGCTGTCCAAACTGCAACAGGAGCCCCATGTAATCCCAGGGTGGTGTGTGTGTCCGGCACACTAGCCGAACCAATTCCATCATTGTCCCTGCAACAAGAAGCTGAACAAATCATGCACCCATCTTCTGTCAGGGCAAGCAGAAGCTTGACCTGAGCGGCCCGACGAGCAGCGGCTTGGAGAAGGCGCCCACGGTGAGCGACAGCGATCAGGAGAGCTCCGCGGATGAGAAGGAGAAGAAGGCCATTGAGGTCACCCACGGCCAGCAGGACATACCTTGCATGGGTGTCGGGGTATAGACATGTCTGTCTTTCTGTGTGTGCCCGTATGACATGCCATATGTGTATATGTGTGTGTGCATGTGTTTGCCTCTATGCATGTGTATCCGTCGGCCTCAATGTTTATATATATATATACATACACACACGGCCACCTGTATGTGTAGCTGTCTACACACATTTTTGTATGTAGGTGTGCATGTATGCATGAATGTTGTTGTGGGTGTCGCTTCTTCACCAGCTTGTTTGCTTGGTTGTTTGTTTGTTTGGTTTGGTTTGTATTTGTATTGTGTTGGTGTGGATTGCTGCATTTGCCTGTTTGTTTTGTGTGTCGGTCTGTTTTTGTTATATGTATGTAGGCATGAGGCATCTATAATGTGTCGCTGTGTGTGTAGGTGTTTAGGTATGTATGTGTGTAGGTAAGTATGTA